ACACCGTGACACTGATTTAGTTAATTAAGGGGTAACACAGTTAAAATATCACAAAAGGATCTTTTAATAATAAACCTAGCTCTTTAAAATTACCGCGGCAGTTATAAGGCTCGTAAAAATAAATCAATTAATAAGAAAGCTTCCTAGCCTACTTGATAGTCTAGAAATATTTTAATATGACAACAAACCGATAAGCATCTAAAATGGATTCCCTTCCGCTTCGAACGTGATCGAAATAAATTAAAATTAAAAATTAAGTAAACTACAGATTCTCCAGGAAAGTTCTCATTAGTTTAGCCAAGTAGAACTTGACCAGTATAAACAATAGTTCGCCAAGTATTATGCTTAGTATAAGATTTAAAATCTAAATACTTACCAAAGAATACCTTGATGCTGGCGTAGAAGGGTGGATTGCAACCCAAATAGATATCAACGAGAAGAGAAGATAGAACGAGAAGCTTATAGCCCTTTCTATTGAAAAGGTGGCCGAAGAGAGATCTACGAAGGAAACGAAGGCTATGTGCCCTTTCTTTACTGAGGCCTATATATGATCGGTGCCATAGACATCTGCGAAGTTTTGCTATCAGACGCATCGCGCTGAAGACAAGGGCCAGACAGAGCAAGCCTCAGCCTCGGCCCGTGAGGAAACTTGTATTTAAAGTTCGGCATTTTTATTTAGCATCGAGACATATGTTGTAGTTTACAATACTTATTGATGGGCATGATCCGCAATTGTATATGAAAAGAAAAAGGCCGAGCCCACGAGCAAGTTAACATTGTGGAATTCACGTAACAATCTGCAGGCGACAAATGTACTTCCTCTCCATAACCGTGCCAAGCGCCCAACCACATTCTCAAGAATTGAATCGGCAGCAATAGCAATTTGGCGTCGGTTTATCGATACTCCGACCGTGTCAAAGTAATCAATATAATCACATAAAGCCTGCTCTTGTTCAGGATTGAGCTTCCTACCATTAGGTGCTCGTTGAAAAAGGGATTTTCCACCTTTCCATCGCCGGCGTAGTCGGTGCATAGGAACCGCGAATTCTCGCGCAGTTTTCGTGATATTGGGCTTTGTCTGCTCAGATAGAGAATCGAGAGCAAGCTGAAGCTGTTTCTCTATGTCTTTATTGGTTTTAGGCATTCTTGGTGGTGTGGTTGACGATCAAAGTAAAAAAGAAAAATGTAATAAAAAACTTGCAAATGGGTGGCAGACCCTCGCTTGCGAGGGTCCGTATTTTTTGAAAAAAAAATTTCAGGGGCTGGTTACCCAGGATGGGTGGTTAGGCGCTTGGCACGGTTACTAGGGAAACAAAGGCGGTGCTACATGCCAGAATCCAGGGTATCAAACTTCAAATCATCACAGTAACGGCCAGTTAAGGTCTTGATTTGAAATTCCAAGTTGAGTATCAGGGTGACTAGGGTCGATGGAGGATGAATCTATAGCTAATTATTGCATACTAGAGACACCAAAAGAAAGCAGGAAGTAATGCATGGTATTTGACATCAATGCCAGAAGGCGCTAAAAAAGAAATTTGCAAGACCAGCACCGTCATTCAGGAAGCTCGAGCACCGAAGATGGGGAAATCGTCGAAGAAGGGATCAGGCTGTCGAATGAAATCTATGTACGTCTCAAAAAAGGGATCTTAAACCTCCCGTACACTTGGTATAGGGGTAGCCCCGGAGTCTTGTGAGTTTCGACCGCGAAGGCTGAGGTTTCCGATGCGTTGCACCAGGTTGCTGCCCACGGCATCAACGGCACCCTTAGGAGCAAGCAAGGTCGGGCCTTGAGCAGCAGCCTCTTGGACTCTGAAGAGTTTAATAGCTGTGCCGTTCCAGACACCAACTGTTCCTGGGGTTGCACCAGAAGCGGAACCGACTACCATCTCGCTGGAGAAGATAAAGCCCCACAGCAGGGATTCGTACCAGCCCATAGAAAGTGCGGACCATTCGAATGATTGCATGCGAACGGGGGTTGGTTCAGAGATTATGCTTTTAACCTCGGGCTCTTCCGCAAAGGACGGGAGATTGTGGATAAGTGTACGGGCCTCCGGGCTGACTGCGCTTACAAGCGCTGCGTCAGGAATGTGAGGTGCAATGGCTGAGATGATAGTGAGGACTGTGTGCAAAGGAAGATCAGGCAACCAGGATTCGAGCTGGGAAACGATGTTAGTAGCAGAACACATAGTTGAAATGTGATCTGGCTTGCATAGACTTACCCATGGAACGGTGGGCGTGAAACCACTAGCAGAGGGGGTGAATAAAGCAGACATGCTTGTCTGACTGGTCATGCTGTTTTGTCGGGAGAAAGGTGGATGCCCTGCAGGTTTCTTTCCGCGTGCCTTTTCGGACATTGCTCGCACCTGCTGCACTCCGTTCTCGTCTGTGGCGGATGTTGTGGAGGGTCTTCGTGAGGTTTGAGCTGAGAAAGATGACTGAGATGGAGTCTGTGCTCCATCTTTCCCACGTTCATCATCGGAGTCGTCATCGCCAATTGCGAATGGGCTGTTCTCTTCGGGAATTCTGGTCAAAGGTGACCGGGCACCCGAAGGAGTGTGTAGATCATCCTCCGAATGTGAAAGTGTAGGACTGACGGCGACATCTGAAGAACTGCCAGCTTTCCTCTTCTCTTTCTGCCGCTCGATCTCCTGCTGGCCACTTTCAAGAGTGAAAGCCCGCACGGCTTCAAAGCGTTGCTTATATTTCAGTATCGAGTAGACGAGATATGGATTGTCTAGATGGAGTCAGTAATGGCTTGGCCCAAAGAGAAGATGTGGCTAGGGGATTTACCATTGAACTTGTGCTCGAGAATGATGTTGATGAAGTCAAGCAACGAGGCAAGGAGAGTGTGATTGGTTTCGTTTGCCAACAAAAAGCTGGGAGCAGACATAGAAGAGAAAAGTTGAATGACCTTCGAGCAGGCGCTCGGAGAAATGTGCTCGATATAGGGAGCAACGTTATTGAGGATGATAAAAAGCGCAGGATACACAGTATCCAGATTCCCCTTGCTGGTTGTCATCAACGTGTGAATTGACTGCGGCAGTTAGTATGGGTTTAAGCTCTTTAAGATGGGCAAACGACAAACCATGATCAAATAGTCCGCATAAGACCCCCTGAACTTGAGCAGCCGGATTGATTGTGGTAAGGTTTCTTGACCTTCGAAACTGTTCTTTAGGCTCTTCCCAAACGTTGGCTCCGCACTCATTGTCTGAAGGATGAAAACGCACATCCGAACCACTCCTTGTTTGGAAGCGTCCAATCTATACTCCATCGCGTAGAAGATACATAAAACAAGAAAGTCATGGGATCGATTGGATTCGATGATAAATGACCGGAACCTTTTGTTGCATTGCAAGGTCTCCCAGAAAAGGACCAGCATCTCAGGTGCCCATTTCACTGATTTTTGACTCCCAGGAAGATAGGAAGTAGTAGCTTGCATCTGATTTAATCAATCAGCATATTGTCTTAGCACACGGTGAAGTAGAGAATACACACCGGCTGGTTCAGAATTCTCGTCATGCCATCGACCAGGAATTGGAAGTCTTGAGGTCTATGCAGCCTGCCAAAGTAATGGCGATAATAATTCTTCGGTGGAGTTCCACGGCCATCTTCTGGAATAGGATACAACAAGAGGACAAGAAGAAGTTGCACACAATAGATCACCAATATCTGCCTAGGATCTTTCCAAACAACATGGTCGTATGGAACTCTCCACGATGCGGGGTTATACTTCATTGCCTGTTTTTAATCAGCATAGTTCCCACTGCCAATTGAGTAGAGCTTAACATACTGTGTTGAGAAGAGAGCAAAGGAGAGTCAAAACAGCCTGCTTATCTTGGCAAGTTGTGATGTAAGTAATTGCCTTGACGCCAACGACGGGCAATGTGTCTATCATGGTCAGTAAGTGTTTCAAATATCTTAGTCACATCAGACTCCGTACTCACTTGATGGCAAATACATAGCCTTTCCAGTCAGAGTAAGCAAAAGCCGGAGAATCTCGCATCGGTTGCTCTCCAATGTTTTGTTCGACCCCATAGCCGTGTTGCAGCCAACACCGCTCTGCCAAATCGAAAAAGAGACCTTGCTCTTCGCAGTTGGAAGTCGCGGAATTGTAAAGTCGGCAAAGAAGAGCAAGTCCACCAATGTGTCTATCAACTCCTCGGCAAGAGGTTTCACATCTTCATAATCCTCCGCGCGCGGTGATGTCGTCTCTTGGTTATCATCCGGCTGTGCTTCGTCAAAGAGGACCTCCCCAGCAATTTGTGATTGTCTTGTCCTTCTCTTTCGACGAGTCCAGAAGAAATTGTCCTCCCATTCTTCCAGATGGTCGGCCTCGTAAACATAGGGGAGAAGGCGAGTGAGGATCCGAATGCAGTTGAGGATATCACGTTCGGGGGCGAGATCGGGGTCAGGAAATGAGGGATGGTTTTTCAATACAGTCAGTCGCGAGGTGACTGCGAGCAGGAGTGTTTGGAAGTTGGGCAAGGCATGATCGCGCGTGCGTCGTATGTCAGCCGGCGTGAAAAGGCTAAAGACGTCTTCGGTTGATTCAGGAAGCTCCCAGAACTACCAGTGAGATTAGCCTCTAAATATCCTAGACAGATAGTTATTTTGTATCAGATCATACTCTAGTCCAGTAGGGGTCGTCTGCGGGGATCTCCTGGTCCTCCGAGAGGCGGAAGATGCCCTGTTTGAACACAAGCTTGGATTCCGAAGCTCCCATGGCGGAGGGAAGCTGGTAATCACACCGTTATGGGCTTCATGCAGCTATTCACAACAAACCTCAATGTGGATGTGAGGCGAGGGCGCTTTCTGGCTGTTTGTTTGCCAAGTGCTAGAAGTGGTTGGCGGTCCTAATCGTCCGGGCGCGGGATCTTGGTCTGAACACGGGGTATGCCAGACTGGCCGAATGTCAGTACAATTTACGGTAGATTATATGCCGATCAGAACCCATGGGAGATTATCGCAGAATGATGATTTGTCTCACACACATTTCCCTTGTCTGCATTCCTATCCATTTGTTGGCATGTGCTCAAAGGCACATTTACAGCCATACATACTTCCTAGGATAGGAAAAATGTCCAAACAGGCCCCCGGTTTTTACAAATACACAAATCAGTCAAAGGAAAATTGAAACCAGCTTGTAACAACAATCATCGAATTGGTATCCTTGTAATACATTGTGAAGAAAACAACCGCTGTGACATTAAACACCAACACCATGAATGACCCAAGCGCCTGTTCGCGAGATGGTTCAGAAAATCGAGAAGAATCAGAGAGCTCCTCCACTTGCTGAAAGCCGCCGGCTCCTCTCGTACAGCCATTTGTTCTTAACTCCCAGACTTCCACGTTTTCCCATGAGCGGAGAAGGTGTACTTGGGCCCATGCTCATGGTCGACTCTCCAAAGGAGTTGCTTTGAGCTAGAGGGGATGCGGATCCAAAGCTCTGGCGTTGAACGGATTCTCTGCCTCCATTTGAAATCGCCTTGAAAACCAGAGGGCTAGAGGCAGGCGAGAAAGGTGTGCTGATCGAAGAGCGTCGCTCAGAGAAGCCTGCATTCGCGGACATAGGGGAGGACGGTCTGCTTGCAGGACTGGCCTTGCGTGAAGTGGATAGCCGGTATCTGGGTGGGGTAACAAATGTTGTCCCAGGAGTTGCTGGGGGTGTGACAGCAGGATCCAATCCAAGAAGTGAGCGTTGAGTGGGGGTAAGGGAAATGTCTGAGAGGTTGTCCTTTGGCCGGAAGAGGGGAGAAAGCGCCACTAGAACATTGAAAATGAAAAAGAGCTGGAGAATGAACAATGGAACTTCTTGGCACATATAGTTGGTATCAAAAATTTGGCGTGAGCTTCAACGAGATTGTTAGCACGCGACGCGATGCACCGGAGTTCTCATCGCACTTACTAGGTTTTGAAAGTAGACCCAAATGTCCAGCTCATAACCAGAGCCGCGCCGTTCCAAACCAGCTTCTTCATTTTTTTCTGATCAAACGTAGCTGCATTTTGGCGCCGAACGATCTCATCAAGCTGGGGGTGTCGCCACTTTCCCGGAGTCAGAGTACCCTCTGGGGTGGGAGGAGCCACCGGAGGTGTTGCTATCGGGGTAGAAGGAAGAGATTGAGTTGCCATTGCTAATGCGATGAAGACAATTCCCCGCGTGAAGAATGAGGTGAAATTGACTCGGAACTGGAGTCGTGAAGTCAGTCACCAATCCGTAGTTGTTTAGACTGTTTTTTTTTTCGAAGTCTTTTTGACAATGGGGATTGGATTTACCAGTATTATGAGCTTGTTCAGTTCTTACCTAGGTGAGAACAAATACAGGGAACTGTTAGTTAGTAGTGCACATGGCTATGAACAATTGTTCTCTCAAAAAGTCATAATTGTTGTTGGCTATAAGTTCACAATCCCAAAGTGGCTGCTGCGCTGGCGCTCAAGGAAGGGGTTGCACGGGCTTAAGTTGACCCGGCCAAGCTGACGCACCTCTTATCGCCGTGCCCCTCAACGTCATAGGCGCTGATTGTTGACACTCGACACTTCATCCTCCTCAGATTGACCATCAAAAATGGCTGCTGATACTTCACTCGTAGAGAAGCTCGATGCTTTGGTGGCCAATATCCTAGCCGACTGGAATGTCTACACTACCCTTGTTGCCGGGGTTGTCCTCGCTTTTGGGGTTTACTCTGTCATCTCGTCCAAGGATCCAGATGTACACCCGTTCCTACTTGCTCGCCAATCAACAGCAGCCCCAATCCGCCAGGAGGGGGAATCTGCTACTTACAGATGCCTAGAAACCCCACACGGCTTGCCTCTCCGCTTTGGACTGAATGTCAAGGACCCGGGCGCCCCAAAATGGACCGGTGGCCGAAGAGGTGATCTGCGTGATATTTGGAAGACCGCTGTGCGTGGAGCTCTAAATGAGGACGGCACCCTTTCGGGAAAACAAGGCAAGATATACACTGTTCTAGGACGAAACGCTATAGAGCACTCGTTAGACCAGGTGACACAGGAAATCAATGTTATCGGTCATCATCTCCAAAACTCCGGCGTCAAGACGGTGGCTGTTTGCCTTACAGACTCCATCGAGCTTTTAGCAACAATTTTCGGTACGTCTCTTATCAATCCATGTGTGAGAGTTGAAGTCTAACATTACGCGATCCAGCTGGTGCTTTCTATGGATTCAAGACGGTCATTGTTCCACACAACCTTCCAACAGAGACATTATCAGCGCATCTACAACAGGCAAAAGCCGATGTTCTGATTGCCGAAGCCGGATCTCTCGACGTTTCGCTTGTAACAAAGTGTAACAAGCAATTATCGCTTGTTCTTTGGGTCGCCAAGTATGGCAATCGACACATGGATTGGAACGCACTTCCCGATAACGCCAAGGACAGTCTGACGGTTGCAGTTTGGCATGAATTGGTCGAGGAGTTTAAGGAACTTGCCAGCTATGATGTCCCTGAGTACGATCCAAAGACAGAAACCCCTGCCGTTAGTACCGTTTGGCCATCTTCCTCCCAATCCGGCCAATTCGTCGATTTCCAGCCAGAGGCAAGACCAACCCTAACTCGAGTGACATCACTTTTACTAACCTTCAACTAGAATTTGGTGTCTGCAATTGGAGCCATAACCTCCACTCTCCCTCGTACCCAGCGTTTCAACACAACCGATATTGTTCTTTCTATCGACTCCCTTTCTCGGTCCTACCCGCTCTGCACAACGTTGGCTGCACTGTTTGCCAACTCATCCATTGCCCTGAACTCTGTCGCTGGAGAGACTGTCGATTTTGCTTTGGCTACGGCTGGCGTGTCTCCCACTGTCATTGTTGCTTCGTCGCAAACCATGGCTGAGTACCACGAGAATATCATGCGCCCGCACACTGGTATCCTTTCCTCTTTAGGACGCTGGCTTCAGGCAAGGACCCTAGATGCAGGAAACATGCCGACGCGTAACTTTTTCAGCCAACTCGCTCGTATCAGTCCCACTTCCGAGCTCTCGCTAGATGAATTGCGCTTGCTCTGCATCTCCCATCGCATTGATGGTAACCCTGCCGCCCATCTTACCTCCGAACAATTGACCGAGCTTAGAATCTTCACTGGGGCTCGGGTTGTGTATGCATTGACCGGTCCCGGTGTTGCTGGTGCGATTGCCCAAACAAATGCGTTTGATTACAGATGCCTCACCGGTCTTAGCCACTTTGGCGCACCTCTGAGTAGCACTGAAATTACTCTGACAGATGTCCCCGAAGACTCTCCCGACGGCCTGGAAGAGGGGAAGGTACGTCACGTCTCACTCTTTTACACCGTTGTCATGTAGAACTAACATTTACTTCTTTAGCTCACCGTCTCTGGCCCTGCTGTCGTCGGCGGCACCACCGCTCTTTCCGGCCGAGCCCGCATCAGCAAGGAAAATACCTTGGAACTGGCTTCCTGAACATACCAATCCCAAGATAGCCGCTTAAATTAGCATCTTCTTGGGGCGTATTTGAATCTTGAACCTTGAAACGTCGGGACGTTTGGTAGTGAATTTGACCAAAATATTGCGTATGTCTGAAAATAGCACTCAGCGGGGTCAGATGTGACAGGAAATAAAATCTTTATTCTCTGAGATACACGGACAGCTCAAAAAAAAGGGTTGGGAAGTACAGTAATATACATGCCGATGTGGCTCAATCAACACCAAAAGGAATCACAACAAAGGTCAAGCGATCTCTTCAACCTTTCATTTGGGCTGTTCCACGAGCAGTTGCTTAACGATTTTGTCTGCAAGCACGTCGGCATTCTTCACTTTCTGCAACTGCGAAATCAGAATAGGCTTAAGCTCATCACAGCGAGCCTTGAAATTCCCAGTGTCTTGTGATACCTTAGGCAACCCAAGGGCTAAAAGCATGCCGTTGTAAACAGCAAGGTTCTCCTCAACTCTCTCAATGTTTTCAAAGCCAGTGACCGCATCGTCCTTGAAATTTCCTAGGAACCAGGCTGCATCAAGTTTCTGAGCGTAGCCACGGACCAAGGCCGTCTCAGCCTCCTTAATTTTCGCACAGGCGGCACTGAGTTCCAAAAGCGTGCCGATGACGAAAGGCTGGTGTTTGGGGTCATCCTCGATGTTCCTGACAGAGTGTTCGTGAGCATCCATCAGGCTAGCGGCCTCCCTCGCTAGTTTCAGAGCTTTGACGGTTTGGATTCCCTTGAAATTTGCTTTCGCGGCTGTTTTATGAAGCTCGAAAAATAGGCGGCGAGCGATGTTTTTGTTACTGAGAGTCAAGCCGGTGCGCTTGGACTGTCTGGCGCACTCGATAATGGTTGAAAGCTTTCCGGCGTCGCTGGTTTTGCGAATGATAAACTCCCATCGATCGCTGTTGATGGCATAGTTTGACATTCGGAGTCCACTGAGGTACGGGAAAAGGTTGCTAAAGTTCTTGGTCGCGACCATCATCTTGAGAACCTCGAGAGCCTCTTTCTTCGATGGCAGATCATGGTGCTTCTTGGGCGTTAGGGTGAACTCTTCGGTCTCGCCGATCTTCACGGTAATCGGCTCGTTCTGCAATTGCTTGGCGTATTTTTCCCGGAAAACGCTCTTTCTCTGTCGATTGGGGAGAGCAAGCGGTATGAACAGCTCATTGCGGAACCGATCAAGAGCTTCGTCTAACTCGGGAGAGGATGTTGAGGTGAATGTTGGAATAGCTGATCCGGTCGTCTCTGGTGAGAATTTGAAGCCATTGTAGATGGATTAATGCATACCTGAGTTCGAACCATAGCTGCGGACCTGCACAGGTCTCAGGATGGACTGGCGCACCGAGCTGGTGGTGCTCTGGCGGAAGAGCCTGCTCATGGAGATTTGCGCCATCATGTGTGCTCAAAGACTATGTATAATGCGATGCAGTGTAGGAGAGTAGTAATCGATAGAACGATAACTCCCCCTCAAAGCAAGAACAAGAAAACGAGGTTGATTGGTATCGAGCAGTTGGTGGAGAAAAAAGAATCGCTGTTATCTGCAACCCGAAATGGGCAAATGAGGGCTTGGCGGAAATTCTGCCCATCCGGCCAAAACTCGACTCCGACTTTCTTGACTTGACATCCTCATCACAAACATGGCGGCTATACCAGCAATGCGCCCGCTGGGCTGCTTAAGGTCCTTATTGCGGGCCTCGGAGCCTGTCCAACCCTTCATCAACCGTCGATTCATCTCGACGGCCTATTCGAAGAGGCCCGAACGAGTACCTCTTCCCCCGAACATGCCTGAGCAATTCCTATCCCAAATACCTCTTCGCTTCCGCCCAGATCCTGGTATGTTTATTTCAACCAAGTAAAGACGACGCGTGCTTTACTGATTGTCGCTATCTCATGTAGAGCGCCAGCCCCTCAAGATCTACCCTGCTCCGCCATCTGCTCGCAAAGCATGCAAGGACCCCATCGGAGCGGTTACCGAATCGCAATTGGCAGTCCTTGACCCCACGGGTGAGCGCAAAGCCTTGTTCGACTACCGACGAAACCCGCGCAGCGTCAAGACAGGCGATATCGTACGAGTGACATTCAAGAACGGCGACCCTTTCAACGGAATTGTTCTGAGCATTAAGTTGCGCGGAATTGAAACCTCATTCCTCATGCGAAACGAGCTTACTCGTGTCGCTGTTGAGATGTCAGTCAAGGTCTTCAGCCCCAACGTGAACAGCGTGGAGATTGTCCAGCGATCGGAGAAGAAGCGCAGAAGAGCAAGATTGTACTTCCTCAGAGACCGCAAGCACGACCGTCGCAGCGTGGAGAATGTTGTGGCCAGCTATGTTCGCCAGAAGAAGGCTTTCTTGGGTGGCGGCAATCGTCGGCGATGATTGAGTTAGAGGACGTCCGGCGTGACCCTCATTTGCATACGTGTGGCTGTACTACTACCTATCATTTTGTACTTCATCTGTGTTTATAAACTGCGATATCAAATACAACTCTGAGCTCTTCTATTCCAGCGCACTACTCCACAACATGTTTATTGCGACTCTTGCCGCTTTCCGACTCTTCAACGCTCCGGCATTCTTGTTTTTGTTCTCCACTGCTCGTGCAGTGCTGAATAACCACTTGATTTTTTGCCTTGCACAAGAGATGCACGTTGACTTCTAAGTTGGATAAAGTAAGTTATATCCAGTGAGTACCTTTCAGTGCACCATGAGCTCATACTGGACGCCAAGAGGCTCTTGTTTTCTTAATCCGTCATAGGCAACCCGGCAGTTTGATGAAGTAAACTCAGTTCAATCTTTCCATCTCTGGAAGAAACGCCTCATCTGCACAGCTTGATGAATGATTGCATCACGCCTTGCATCTAAAACAAGAATTCTCAGACCATTCCCAGTATCTGGCCTTACTTCCAGAGGATCGATTTTCCCATTGGAATCCCGCGAGTCTACAACCCCGTTCCCTCATTTGCACATATCAAGACTGCCGATGCAGTCTTGGAGTCCATGTGGCCGTGAAGAAGAGATCTTTCTCTAGAAACAATTGCTTTCCATGCTGCGAACTAGTTAGTGTAGCAGTGTGAATTGAAGCGCCCAGCACTTACAAGGAGGATGAGCATGGCCTCATTTTCAAGACCCCTATCATCCTGTGCCTAGGCCCGGTGGAATACAGCTCCGGTCGGCGTGTTCATCGGTTCTGTGGATCCGTCAACTGTCATTTTAATAACTCAACGCTCGAGTCTCCCGGGAGATCCTGTCCAGTTGGATGTTTGTGACATAAGAAGGAATGCGGAACGTTGCCTCTCCGGGGCATTGCGGTCATTCTTCGGCAGTTAAATGAGGGAAAGCGGTTCGATCAAAGATTGCTCTGCATGCCATACTACATCTAGTCTTGTGGGGGTTTTCGTGTTTCGTGCAACCAGCAATATCGACCCGTGATGCCCAGCTGTGTCATGGACACAGATTCTGTCTTCTTGTCCAACAAGGAGGTAAACGCTCCCATCTCACGCACAGTCACTCCCCAGTATGTGACAGTCCAATGGGATCGCCCATACTATGTAACAGACAATGTCGTACTGGATAGTGCATTGGTCCTACCACCCTCCATCTGGGACAGGATGCAGTCATGCTTTTGATGTGCCCAACATTGCAGTAGACTCGGGATACCAAATCAAACGGCCTTAATCAAGTGTGACACAATCATCGACCAGATACCAAATGAACTGGCAAGTCTATAGATCGACTTCCCTACCTTTTGGAAGTAATCTAACTGCGCCCGATGAGAAACTCTTGATTGACCGCCTTTATAGAAGATTGGTCAATCAGTGTATTCGGTACAGTACCTTAGGACGAGCACAGCGTTGCTGACGACTTTCTTAGCATAACCTGATTTCTTTTCTTAAATGGCACAAAGCCGAAGACCGAAGGAGCCGGCAAGGTTTTGAATCAGGAATATATAGAAATACAACACATCGGTGATTTTTTAAAGCGGTGGTTGAGGTAGACGAATGTCAATATCGAAATAGCAATGACATAGCCGCGTGGCATATGGGACATTTATGTTAGCTGAAGACTCTATGGCCATTAATTAATTAAAACCCATGTAAGAGTGGCCATCAATGCCGACAGCGCGAATTCTTAAACGACGATGGTGCCAACATGTGAGTTATCACCGTTTGGAACATTCCCTATCTAGATATCAGTTGCTGGGAACCAATTCTGACATGGTACAAGTCACAAGTCACATACAAATCATGCCAAGAGTTGTGAACATCAAGAGCTTATAGTCTAAAAGAGCCTCCCAAATCCGATACAGCTTGATCAAATTGTTCTCAACGCCAGTGTTGCTTTCTCGTAGACGATGAACAGCCATACAGCACTCATTATTGGTAAGAACCCTTTACTGTAACTAGTCAATCTGAGCGAAAAATAAACATGACAACTCCCTGGGTAGAAAACAGATGATCATCAAACCACGTCAAATGGAAAGTTTGAATGAGGGCGAGAGGAAATCAATTTATATGACGATAAACTTATATTTCCAAGACGATACTTTCGTACAGGGTTGAGACAAAAAGGCCAAATCTTGTAGCAGGAGATCTGTGTGTTAAGTACTCCAAATGTCCATCCTTAACTATCGTTTATTAATGGCAGCTATGGTGCCCCTTGCCATTAACCTTTCCCCATTGATTCACTTGCTCCCAAGCTGACAATCCGACACAGATCGCAATCCGCCACACCATTCGACGACTGAAACCTTCGCGCCAGATACCCCCCAAAAGGGTCAGAACGGAAATTGCCAGAAAAGCGTTTCGCAGTTTCTCGATGCCCGCAGTGGCCACTGAGCCTGCGAAGAGAAAATCTAGGACGGTCTAGAAACTTAGTATATGCATTCAATGGTCGAGGAATGTGAAAAGGAGCATACTGGAAGCCAACAACACGAGGACGAAAGCAATGCGGATCCTTCTGGTAAAAATTTGACGACTAATTGAAAGAGTCTTTGGAGAAGGGAACCATCATTGTCTAAATTAGACTTGCAAAAGGGTTTATTTGACAAATGTTGGGAGGAACAGTCGCCGCATGACATGGTATCAATTTTTTCAATGAAGAACGGCCCGACAGAAATTGAAAACAGCTTTTGATCACCTTGAGTTGCGGTCTACAGGTCTAGAGACGTACGACCCCTGGCTTAGTATTTGCCCAGTGCAAACAAGTCAAACACAACCATATCCAAGGGGTGTATCCCTCGTCGATCTTGCTGCTCAATAATCCGGGGTCTTGGGTGATATTTGGCCACAGGCACAACCAGTAACCAGTGGGAGTTGCAAATCATCTGTGCGGAGGACTCCGCAATGCGGCTTCGCCCCCCCAAAATAGCCGCCTAGGCGTTTGTCAGTCCCAAGTACTCAAGGCACGCTTCTACCTCTCAAGAAGAATTCTCTTTGGCAACCTTCAAAACCAAAAATGGCCCCACTCAGGGGTCTTCTGAGATGGTTAATCGTCCGTCACTCGCCAGCCGGAACGGGGAACCCTCAAATGTATCGTCAAGGCCTGTCCAAGAAGGTGACCGAGACAATAATGAGATAAAACTACTTTTCAAAGAGCTGTCACCAAAAGCAGAGACTGGCGAACTAATCACAGGCTCGCCGGTAACCTCTATTTCGTCTACCTCGCTTGAAACACGATCTTAAATCCCTAGGGATCAAGTGAGGCACCAATTTCGAGACATGTAAAAGTGTGCGGTTAAATCCTGGATACAGCGTAGGGACCTGACCACCAACGCCTCCGGGGTCTCAGCCCGGACCGAGCTTAATCGGCCGATCAGAAGCGGCAATGTATTAGCACTAAAGCGGAGAGGGAAAGCTATCTCGGTCTGAAATTCGGTTCTTCTTCATCAATGCCCAAGTCCAAGTCGATCTAGGACGCCCACCGGAATCTCTTGATAACATTGACCCTTATCTTAGGTGACGTGCGCATGGTGCAACGCCAATTAATAAAGTTACTTGCAGAGAGCTATGTCACAGTTTCAATTCGTGATTCGTGAGTTACGTTGATTATACTGATAGACAGCGATACAATTCCCCAGGTATGGGGGAATGGATGCACTCCACTTCGAGGTTCCCGAAGGTCACTAAGGCAAAGCGCAAGGCGTCTATGCTGAGATCTGCTTAATCTGTGCCTCGAGTTTCTTCATATCACCGCCAACAACGCGGTTGACCTCCTTGCCATCCTTAAACACCACAAAGGTGGGCATAGCGTTCACACTCAGTTCCCGTGCGACACCTTGCAGCTTGTCCACATCCACCTGGAGGAAACGCACATTCTCGTACTGCTCACTCAGCTTGCCGACAATGGGGGCAACGGCCTTGCAGGGTCCACACCAGGTTGCGAAGAAGTCAACGACGACAGGACCGGAGGAGATGAGGGCTTTGAAGATGACTTGGCTATTGGGCGAAGATTAGAACTCATCTAATTGAGCACCGAATCGAGAATGACTTACTTGTCGATCTCGGTGACCTTTCCGTGAGACATGGTGGCTGCTGAGCTCGAGTTGCGTGACTTGAAGAAGAGACGGACAGCTTATGCGGGGTCAGCGTTTGGTCATCTTCTTTCTGTTTGATGTGGCTCATATTTATTATGGGGTGCGGGCAGGCATCGCCGGAGATGTTGCATGGCAGTACTTACCAATGTATATCGCAGTGAGAATTAGAACGGTCTTGAGCTCCATCTTTGGTTGTCGTTCCAAGTTCTTTGGTGGAGCGTCGTGTTATTTGGCATGGCACGTGACCTTGAACTATGCCCTATCTAGAGGTGTGCGATCACGACATCTACGAGGAAATGAGGCCTCAGCTAAACGTCTCTTACTCTGATCAAGCTAGATCTTGGACTTGGGGCTTTAGCAAGTTTAATATGAATGAACCCACCAAAAGCCTCTGCCCTCCAACTGGGCAAATAGTGAAGGATGCGCTTGCTTTCCTACGTGCGATGATATAGACAGCTTTAGAGACGAAGCATATACTTTTCTGCACTTTCCCCCCCCCCCCCCCCCCCCCTCCCTCCGCCCTTGGC